CAAGTTGGACTACAGTACATGTTCCTTGTACTATTTTTTTAACACAACATGAATGAGACACTTGTCCAGGATGTAGTTAGATTATGAAGACACAGGCTGAATGGGGAAAGAGAGGAGAGGAGTCAAACCAACACAAAATGAGCAAAGAATGCAGATTGATGAATGGAAAAACTCAATATTATCAGGAAGGTCTGTTGTATAGGTTACACAAGGAGTCCTAATTTGTGTGACTGGCTTTTTCCATAGTAAGTGACCCAAGCTGACATTGACTTTGATAGCTTTATAGGGATAATATTTTTCACCAGGGTGAATTCTTCTTGAACAATTCCTTCCATGTATTAGACTCTAAAATCACTTTCAGTAGCAGCAGGCATATTTTTATTTTTCAACCACTTTTTACTGAGACTGATGCAAGGAAAATCCCACTGTCCTTTTGTTTAGATGTTCTCTTATTAATCTCTTGACATATATATAATAGGGCAGTGATGCAATTCAGGCTGTTGTTCCAAAATCTTCGGAGCGCTTTTGTGTCTCTTCCCCAATGTGGGGTACAGCAAATACTACATGAACTACAACAGTATGAGTCCTTCCTGTTGGTGATGTGGTAATGGATTTTCTTCATCTCAGTATATGAAGATCCATAACGCTTCCCTTCTTTCCATCCCCTGGGAATGTACAGTGAAACCATTAAGAATGGATGTGAAAAGCAGCACCTTTTCAGATAACAGACGTAGCATCTGGATTGTTACTATAAGCAGGCTGCAATGAGGTGGTACTGCCATCAATTATTAAAATGACCTGCTTGTATGCAAATTAAAGCTGTTTTATCTTTTTTTTTTAAGCTTTTTTGTTGGATCTGGTGGAAAACCTAGGACTTTTTGTTAATACTTCAGCATTTAACTAACACATTTAAAAGAAGGTGACTCATTCTGTATTTAAAAACCTGGCTCATGTGCATAGTGAGCAAGGTAACTGAATGTTGCCATGTAGTTGGGATTTTTTTTTGTAACTGACAATGATCACTGTGCTGCTAACTGGATTCTACGTTTCTGGCAATGGATGAAATGTAAAATGTACAATTTACACTGTGCATATACTGTATATCCAGCACATATATGGTCACAAAAAGAGGAATTTCTATGTCCAAACTTGATATCTGTATTGTCAAAAGACTATTGTGGTTTTCACCTTAATGTTTTTTACACATTTTCTTGAACCAATTGCTCTGCTAGATCATATGAAGAAATCCCATCAGAATGCTTTTCTAACCCTGAAGGTGAAATATTATATTGATTTAAAAAAGACCAAGTAAACAACATGGAATGAAATTTTCCCCTATGTTGCCCAGGGTAACCCCACTGAAGTCAATGGTGTTTCAGAAGCATAAAAAAGAGTTGAGTTTGTCTCATTAATGCAAAGATCTTTGATACAATGTTGTTCTTTCTGTGATGCTGCTGGTTGCAGAAATTATGTAAAGTTTATAAAACTCCATATCCCATTGTCGCAAAAGGAAAATTGGAAAGCACAATGTAAGTTAGTCATCTTCCCAACTCAAATTACGGTTGTGAGAAGTAGCCTCTTTCATTTTGTGTTTATAATAATGTCCTTTTATAAATGTTTACTGCTTGCTTCTCATCCCTGATAATCAGCACCAGACACAGTGGACCAAATGATGAAGAATAACTGCAATGCACACATCCAACATTGTTCAAATGTCTAACTTGCTATTTTATGAAACATGAAAGTATTGCCCTCGTGTAATCTTTCAGTTCCACAGTGAAAACAGAATAGATGCCACTATTTAATGACAGGGAAAAAAATCACAAGGCTGCTTAAAGCAAATGTATCAGAAGATTCTTCTAACAACAGCTATGCACTAAACTATGCTCTGCTAACCTTATCTTGCAAACTTCAGCTAGCAGCATTTGTGCTCTGGCAAATCCATTTGACTGGTCTGCGTAGAATTTTAATTAAACATAGCTCTCAGGCTACATCTCAAATGGAAGAATGAAATTAGGGCATACCCTTATGTAGAGTTTATATCTATTGTTATGGTACACAAAGGTAATTTTTAAATTTCATTTTTTTCCAAATCAATGACTATGCTATGATGTTAGATAATTAGTGATTTAATCCATCCATTTCAAAAAATAAAATGGGTTCTCTATAATATGCCCAGTTCATTAATTTTTTACAGATTTTTACACTAGAAAATGGGATTGTCCATCTGAAATATCAGTAGTTGGGCTAGTTCACAAATACTGTTATGCATCATTACATTAGAAAAACATGGACTGATAGGTTAATAATAAATCATCACATTATTTTTGTATAGTCACAGAAAATACAACCTCCGTATCTAAGTTCTTTAGGTATAATCTTAAGAGTGTGTAACTCTAAAGAGAAACGGGATACTTCCAATTCCAGCAAAACGTACACTGCAATAAATTTTGAAAAAGATTCCACAAATGGAAGAAACCTAATGACAGAGAATTGCTTATTTATATATATATACTTACACACAATATATATTTATATAAATATAAATATTTACTAGCTACCTGTTTATTTCCTGGAGAGTATCTTTATTATCATTAAGTTAACACAATAAATTGGAATAGGAAAGCCTCACAGTATGCAGATAAAATAAAGTGTGAGTCTATGTTTGTAAGACAAATCCCTTGTATTGTTGTGTCCCAGGTGGACAGGAGCTTTTTAAAGCAAAGCACTGAGCCTTCATAGCAAGACATAAATATGAGTTGTATTGATCATATATGCACTGAGGATAAAATTCCCCTCTGTACTGATGGTCAGCACAGGACCTATGCACTACTTGCCTCATGTATGAATATTTAGGCTCCCTAAATCAAGTGTCAAGATGCACAGGGCTCTGTGAAACCGGTAAAGGATTTTCTAGAATCAGTCTCTTTTATTGTTTTAAAGTTCTGGCCAGGTATCTGGAGGGGACAACCCCAGGATCTTCCACTATTGATCACCTTATTATTTAAATTAATTGTTTTGCATTTGTGCATTTGCTATTGCAATTTTAAAATAACCTCAGAAAAGAGACACAAACTTTGTTCAAATTCTGATTGCCAAAAAAGGTTCTATTTACTTTAGAAAGACTTGATTATGGTCATAGTAGAAAAACGTAGACTAAAAAAATTAAGGTACAGGCTTTTGACTTTTAAATTACTCATCTGTGGAGTTCCTCTTTGAATTAAATACCATCTGCCAGTCTTCACAGGAGGATTATTCATTCTTTATAGCTTCAGGGACAGTCAAAGCAGAAACTCCTGCACAGGACAGTGTGACAGGAAGACCTGCCCAGGAAGTACTGCTGCCAGAAATTCTGCCTACCCATTAAGATGCCACAGCAGTCTAAACAGGTTCAGTCAGAGCAGAACCAATGTTTACTATTTCAGATGTGATTGTTTGAGAGGTATCCAGCAGAGAATATTTTTAAAAGCTGTTCTTATCTGCAGCTCTTTCAAGCTCACTCTTTGTCATTTAAATCTTTCTTTTCTGTCAGCCTTTTATAGCACATCAAGGGGTGAATAGCCACAGTATAGCTGTGAAACAAAGGGCTAAGTTCAAGTCATGCAAGTGGACCTCCTGCTAGTCCAATGGTTTACATTGCATATGAACGATGATGATTCTATCTGACCTAGGTTTACAGACTTACTACATTCAAAATAACTATATTAAAAGTGTGATAAGGTTGCAAAGTCAAGCACTCCAAAGCTAAGAAATGTCAGACTTTAGGTTAAAACAACGAGGAGTACTTGTGGCACCTTAGAGACTAACAAATGTATTTGGGCATAAGCTTTTGTGGGCTAGAACCCACTTCATCAGATGCATGGAGTGGAAAATACAGTAGCAGGTATAGATACATACTACATGAAAAGATGGGAGTTGCCTTTTCAACAGGGGGGTCAGTCTAATGAGACAATTCAATTAACAGTAGAATACCAAGGGAGGAAAAATCACTTTTGTAGTGGTAATGAGGGTAGCCTATTTCAAACAGTTGGCAAGAAGGTGTGAGTAACAATAGGAGGAAATTAGTTTTTGTAATGACCCATCCACTCCCAGTCTTTATTCAGGCCTAATTTGATGGTGTCCAATTTGCAAATTAATTCCAGTTCTGCAGTTTCATATTGGAGTCTGTTTTTGAAGTTGTTTTGTTGAAGAATTGCCATTTTAAAGTCAGTTATTGAGTGACCAGGGAGATTGGATTGTTCTTCTACTGGATTTTGAATCTTATCATTCTTGACATCTGATTTGTGTCCATTTATTCTTTTGTGTAGAGACTATCCGGTTTGGCCAATGTCCATGGCAGAGACTTTAGGTTGTCCATGCAACCTCATTCTTTAATTACATGACCACATACTCTTCCCTCATCTCCTCCCACTCCAAATAGGAATAGGTTAGGAATACCCTATTGTTTTGTGAGTCAAAGCCTCCATCAAATTTATCTTGCCTTAGCATTAATGATTATTCACTCCATGGGGTTGGTTTTTTTAGTTTGATTTTTGCGCTCCCAACTACAGTTGTAATACTCTTAAGTCCTGGTTAGTAACATGGACAGTGTTGGGAGTTTTTTATGATTTTTACCTTGACAGCTTCCCTTTAAATAAATCAACTGTATACTATATGTACCTTTGGAAGAAGAATCCCAACATATCACTGGGCAATGAAATTATACATGATATGCTGCTATTGCTGGTTGGCATGGCTGTCTGCAGAATAAAGAAGTAGCTCAACTAAAATGTATTGTTCTAAAGAATGAGAATTCTGGGTTGGCATGCCAATTTTCAGGTCACTACCACTTGCCGCTGCCATGGCATGTGTCTAAAACTTGGCATTGGCTTTGAGCACTATATCCAACTTTGCTATCCAGTTGCTACAGTCAGCACCCAATAAAACTCTACTCTTTCATTACTAGAAATCTTGGCATTCTGTGCTGTATTTACTGAGAGAGATAACTCTTTGTTTTTCAGAGCTTCCATATGGCTGGGAGAAAATTGATGATCCCATTTATGGCACTTATTATGTTGAGTAAGTTCCCAACTTCAATATTAATTTGCTGTTAATATTTCATAACCTGATATTAATATCCTGTGCAATGTTTGAATTGGAAAGGTGTGGGCATAATTATTTCTCCCTTTGACTTCAGATTATGCAGGAATTATCAGACTCCAATATAGTTGCAGTGACTGAACATTTTCAGTATCTTCCAAACTGGTTACTCTGTCACTTCTTTTTGAGCCCTGATCTCATCCTGTGTATTCCAGAAATATTTGGGAGGAAGCTGAGGGGAGCATTTAAATCAAATGTGTTTTATTTTCTGTTTAACAAGTTTTAGACATACATCAAACAAGGTGCAGATCCTTGCCAATCCAGGAACAGAATAAAACTTAATCATTTTTGCTTCATAAGGATACTTTTCTGAGTAGTCTTACTTTGCGGTAAGTCTGAGAGTCACATTATTGTATATGAGTGAAGGTTGTATCTTATGTGAAATTTTTCTATGCTCACTCATGGCATTGTAATTTTGCACGTAAAGGCATAGCTAGAAAAGGAGAATGTAATTTTCTATTATTTTAATGGCATAATCCCTGCCTGCATTTTTCCAGGAGAATGTGGTGTGTGTACAAAATAGAGAAGAGATCCTTTCTCCCTTCCATTTAGTACAGGTCTTTGTGCAGCCAGCTAAAGTAGATTACTACCCAAAAGAATAGGTGTAATTTATTAGTCTACTTAACTCGAGCCTACATAAAATACCCAAGAATTGAGAGAGATGAAAACAGGGCTTGCTTCTCCTCTGCAAGTGAGTCTAAAGTGGTAATAAAATGATACCTAATCAAAATGATACCTAATCAAAATGATAGCATTATAGTCTCTCTCTTTGCACAGCTGTCATAGACCACCCACGGTATAAGGCCGTGGAGAATCAATCCCAGAAACTAACAACTCACTTTCCCCTGGTCACAGCCCACAGATAGTGAATTGAGAGCTCATCCAATTGAGGGAAGGGGCAAACACACCAGACAAAAATCTGTGAAACAAATAGCAGATCCATTTATTCTGGAGGGAAGATCTTACAGAAGAAGGTTTTGAAAAGAAAAACCCAAACTCAGATCCTTACACTGAGAGCCTCACTTTGTTTCCAGAGTTACTCAGTACAAATTATAGTGTTTTACAGTTTGCTTATCACATAGTTCTCTGACACCCTGTTGTCTCTTGATTCCATACCAACACTACATTTATGCTGGCTCATTTTGGAGATATACCAGTTCTCATACTTTCCTAGTTCCAAACTGCTGATAAGAGTCACAGCACCGGGGCCTCCTCTCCTGCTCCTCCATACCTCCCAAAACAAAAACAGAACTGTATTAGAGTCCTTGGTGGGTTGGGTTGAGTTGCCTAGTGGTTAGCACAGCTAGTGCTCCTCACACCCCAGTGGGCCGGTCCTGGTCCTGGTCCTCCTTTACTCAGAGGTGTGGTGAGGAGTACTGGTGGTTTGAGTCTCTCCTGTAATGAAGGCAGTGGTAGGGGAGCCCAGGCCCACCCACTCTACCAGGCTCCAACCCAGGGCCCTAAGAGGGTCAACAATAATGCCAAGAAATTACCCCTCTGTCCTTATGCTTGGGTTTTTATAATATTCCTGGGTAATAAATGATGGCGTTCACATATCTCTTTATAATAATCCTCTTCATATCTCCCAAATATGTATTTATACAGCTGCTGGTAGTGACTAATGATCTTCTGCACAAGTGGCTATGTACTTTAAAGGCTAAGAGGTGTTGTTCAATTCCTGTGCATTAAGCTGTCACTGAGGCATCTCCCTTGAGCTAAATACTGCCTAAAACATTCTGGCAGTGGTAAGGCTTATGCAGTTCCATTACATAGTCAATGGAACCAAAATGGAGCACGTAGTTGTCTGCATTTTAAGCCCACCCTCAGTCAGGCAGACACAGGCTCCTTGCCCCAAATGCTGCAATGCAGTTGTATTTTTAGGCTGTTGTTGCCAAATTCACTCATTCCACAGACAAAATATAAGGAAGGGAAAGGCTACACTAGAGGCGTACTGTACTTATTGTAATAGAAAAGCTTTAATGGGATCTAGCAGAGATCTGGAATAGTAGAATGGATGTTCATAGACCGGCATTAAAAGTGCAGCAGCACTAGCTTTATAATAGTCAATATAAGGAGTTGTATTTTAATCTGCTTTCTAAGCTCAATAATTTTGTAGTGAAAATTGTTTTCCATTTTTCATTATAAAAAGTGACAGTGTTACACCTTCCTTTATTACTAGCATTTAACAGATGACTTCTTTTTTAACTAGATGAAATCACATTACAATAAACTCTTTTAACTATGTCATAAAATGGATAAATCATGAAAAGTTAGGTTATGAACCTTTGCATATTCAAATCCAATCCAACTTTATAGGAATCACTTTAAAACTGTCAAGGAAAGAATATCCTACCTTCCACTTATTAGAACATCTGTATCTCTCTAAAATAAAGTGGGGCAGTTTGTGGGGATAAACCACTGAAGTAATCAGATTCAGTGTAACACCTTGCAGTGGTCAGCCATAAGGAGTATTTGGATTCTTAGCACTCAGTTAAGCACAAAATATTTGCAATTTTCTCTAGAGTGTGAGGGCCCAGATGCTGCTTCTCCTCTCAGTTATACATAACTAAAGTTCAATGGATGGATATGCTCTTAATTCATCTTACTATTTCAGATCCAAATTTATCTGCAGGGGATGGACATTTGCACTAACTCGAGTAGGTGAAACTTTCTACTGTGACTGGGTCCATTTCTGTGCAACTTTCTAACAGTGCCTGTGGTTTAAAGACTAAATGCTAGCCTTCTTCCTTCCTCAGCCCCACACAGAATTATGATGCTGTGCTGGCCCTTTCAGCTGTCTAGTCGAAAAAAGAGCATCTCTCCCTTTATGGTTGATTAACTACAACATGGAGCTCAATTTTCAAACATGGTCTCCTTAATAGGATAGCTAAACTAACCAGATGGGTACTTACTGTAAACTGTGCATCCTGCCTCAACTGTGCAACATTTCTTTATCTTTTCTATCTGACACTCTGTTACTGCTTATGTAAGAAAATAACATGTTCTCTCAGCAATTCTGTTTGTGTTTAATAAAAAAAAAGGACCTAAATCTTACATTTTGATGCTCATTTCAAAAAATATGTCCATTAATACTTGTTTTAAACACAATTTCAGTATCTAGATGAAATATTTTGATGTCTTTTTAAGGAAAAATAAAACAGCAATTGAGGCCACATTAGTTAAATCAGCCTTTGTCAACTCCACTTCCCAGCTGACTTCCATGCTAACATCATCGGCACAGATGCAGCGCGGTGACCCCATGCACCAGGTTGCATTGTCCAAAGCAGGGAGCCAGGCCCATCCCTGTGGGAGGAAAGCCACTGCTGTGGGATGAGTGCAGGGTGGGCTTGTTTGCCTGCCCTTCCTCACCGGGCCACGGCGAGCTTGCTTTCCAGCCCCGGGCCTCCCCTCTGCACTGGGCCTCCCCTCTGCACTGGGCTTTATTGAAGTCATGGACACAAAGCAAAGCATCGGGCAAACAGAGAAACCATGATATCTGTGGCTTTTTTACCACTGTGACTCATAAACTTTAAGGCCAGAAGGGACCATCGTGATCTCTAGTCTGACCTCCTCCACATTGCAGACCACAGAACCTCACCCACCCTCTCCTGTAATAGGCCCCGAACCTCTGGCTGTGTTACTGAAACCCTCAAATCATGATTTAACGAGTTCAAGGTACAGAGAATCCACCATTTACTCTAGCTTTTCCCAGCAAGTGACCATGCCCCAGGCTGCAGAGGAAAGCGAAAAAACTCCAGGGTCTCTGCCAATCTGACCTGGGGGGAAATTCCTTCCCAATACCAAATATGGTGATCAATTGAACCCTGAGCATGTTGGCAAGACCCACCAGCCAGATACCTGAGAAAGAATGTAGTAACTCAGAGCCATCTCCATCTAATGCCAAACTGTGATGGCGGGCACCTGGCCCTTTGAAGCTTCCTGCTGGAGGCCTCATGATTCTACCACACCCTCACCTCAGGAAAGGAGCAGCAAATGTGGGTCCTGTAGTCCTGCCTAGAAAAGTTGCATAGAAGCAGCCAATCAGAGCCCAGCAAGCTCATATAAAAGGAGCTGCAGGGCCTTAGCAGGTCAGTTCCTGGCTGGGACTAGAAGAGCAAGAAAGGGTGCTCAGTTCTGGCTGGAGGGGTTGATGGGCTGCATTTACTGGACCTGGGGGAGACAGGATCTGAAAACTTCAGCCCTGAGCTAAGGGTGAAGAGAATGGAGCTATGTGGGGAAAGTCCCATGGAATAGCCACAGTGAAATGGAGGCAGCTGTACATGGCTGCTGTTTATAGGGTCCCTGAGTTGGGACCCAGAGTCCCCAGAGTGGACAGCCCTGCTAGCAAAGTGGCCTAAGCCACAGGTCTGCACAAGCAAAGGTCTGGATTTAAAGGATCCAGAGATGGGGTTGATAACCTGTTGAGGGCAGACATTTTGAGCAGGGAGAGACTCCAAGGCACCTGGGAGGGGCTGAAGAGCAAAGGTACCTGAGGAAGGAATGGCTGAGTCCAGCTTGACCCTGGGATTTGAAGAATTTTGTGTTTGTTTTGGACATCAATACTCCCAGTAGGGGTTCACTTTTGATTGTGTGACTTGGCCAGAGGGCTGAGACACTGAAGACCCACCAAGCAAGGCTAACAATGTACAGGAGATGCCAGGAAAGGCCTGCAGTGCAGCCTCTAGGAGGCACTCACTAGAGATGAGTGTCACCCATTACACAAACCTGCAGCTCTACCTATTATTAACAGCCACATATACAAGTGTGACTTTGCTAAGCAGATAGCAGCTTTAAAGTTTGGCAAATTTCTTTCACTTTCACTCTTTAAAACAAATGTCCCTGTTGACTTCAATAGAATTTTTTTCTGGGTGATGAACACCTGACATCACCTTTTGGATTACCAGGTAGATTAGGTCACGTAAGGATACATTGCTGTATCCCCTCTATCCCCTTGATTTAATGAACATTGGAATATTTTCATTTTTTTTAAATAACACTGTCTAAAGGGTAGGGCCTTGAGAATTGCTTAGCATGGGATCATGCAGGTGACTTCAATGGAAGTTACATGTACTCAGCACCTTTTACAATCCCTGATTCTAAGAGAGTTCAGGGTCAGATCTTCAAGTGTTTAGCATCCACAATCAGGACCAGATTTTCCCTGCAGCTTTCTATGAGAGCTCTTTTGAAAAGCTGGTCCTGTGTGCATAAATATTTACCTCTGGAGCAACAGTAATTTACAACACATCGAACAACTTCACACGCATATCTAGCTAATCGCCCAACCCTGCTTGATTCTGAGTGCCCTCAAACCCTCTTCCTTCATGAGGAGAAGCATGCCACATGACACAGGAGATGATCCCCACCCTGCTGGATTTGTTCCCTAGTCAGTAAAAAATGTATCCTCCAGATAACACGCTCTGCAACATAATGTATGGGAGAAAGTTATGTATGAGATACAGGATATCAAAGGCACAGTATCAAAGAAGAACACACGCTAATAGGCCATGGGAAATGTTACATATTGAGAGAGAAAGTTGTGGCATTACAATGATATTTTTTCATATTTCAGTGCTCTCATACTACATGAATTAGTTTCTGCACTTTTCCCCTTGTTTTCTTTTATAAAATACAACAGAAATATAGTAGAGTGTTAAAATTTCATCTTTAGTATAATTTTGTTTGCTGCTCTGGGAATCCAGCACATACTGGATTCGTTACTTTGTTAAGCAATTTGCCTCTACAGTCACTTTTGGGGTTAAGATTTCTATTTCATTATAAACAACTAATTTTGTTTTCAGCTTATCCAGGACCACTATGACAAACACCATCCTGTTTCTCTCTTGGAATCATGCATAGAAATCACATGTAGTGAAGACTTGAAAAACTGTGTTGCTGGAGTATTTTTCAGTGATACTGCAGAATAGCCACAGATTGAAACTAGGGCTGTCAAGCGATTAAAAAAATTAATTGCAATTAATCATGCAATTAATTGCACTGTTAAACAATAATAGAATACCATTTTTAAAAATATTTTTGGACGTTTTCTACATTTTCAAATATGTTGATTTCAAGTATTTGCACTGTAAAAAAAACAAAAGAAATTGTATTTTTCAGTTCACCTAATACAAGTACTGTAGTGCAATCTCTTTATCTTGAAAGATGAACTTACAAATGTAGAATTATGTACAAAAAAACTGCAGTCAAAAATAAAACAATGTAAAATTTTAGAGCCTGCAAGTCCACTCAGTCTTACTTCTTATTCAGCAATTGCTAAGACAAACAAGTTTGTTTACATGTGCAGGAGATAATGCTGCCCGCTTCTTGTTTACAATGTCACCTGAAAGTGAGAACAGGTGTTCGCATGGCACTCTTGTAGCTGGCGTCACAAGATATTTATGTACTAGATGCACTAAAGAGTCATATGTCCTTTCATGCTTCAACCACCATTCCAGTGGATATGTGTCCATGCTGATGACGGGTTCTGCTCAATAGCAATCCAAAGCAGCGCGGACCAATGCATGTTCATTTTCATCAAATCCCACCAGCAGAAGGTTGATTTTCTTTTTTGATGGTTCGGGTTCTGTAGTTCCGCATTGTAGTGTTGCTTTTTTAAGACTTCTGAAAGCATGCTCCACACCTCGTCCCTCTCAGATTTTGGATGACACTTCAGATTCTTAAACCTCGGGGGGTCGGTTAGAAATCTCACATTGGTACCTTCTTTGCGTTTTGTGAAATCTACAGTGAAAGTGTTCTTAAAATGAACATGTGCTGGGTCATCAAGACTGCTATAACATGAAATAAATTAGAAAGAGGGGGTAAAACAGAGCAGGGGACATACAATTCTCCTCCAAGGAGTTCAGTCACAAAATTTAATTAACACATTATTTTTTTAAAGAGTATCATCAGCATGGAAGCATGTCCTCTGGAATGGTGGCTGAAGCATGAAGGGCCATACGATTGTTTAGCATTTCTGGCACGTAAATACCTTGCAATGCCGGCTACAAAAGTGCCATGCAAATACCTGTTCTCTCTTTCTAGTGACATTGTAAATAAGAAAAGGGCAGCGTTGTCTCCTGTAAATGTAAACAAACTTGTTTGTCTTAGCAATTGGCTGAATAAGAAGTAAGACTGAGTGGACTTGTAGGATCTGAAGTTTTATATTGTTTTGTTTTTGAGTGCAGTAATGTAACAAAAAAAATCTACATTTGTAAGTTGCACTTTCACGATAAAGAGATTGCACTACAGTACTAGTATGAGGTGAATTGAAAAATACTATTTCTTTTGTTTATCATTTTTACAGTGCAAATATCTGTAATAAAAAATTATATACATTTTTATTTCAGTTACAACACAGAATACAATATATATGAAAATGTAGAAAATCATCCAAAATATTTAATAAATTTCAATTGGTATTCTATTGTTTAACAGTGAAATTAAAACTGTGATTAATCGTGATTAATTTTTTTAATTAATCACGTGAGTTAACTGCGATTAATCAACAGCCCTAATTAAAACTTTACACTTACAGCAGAGTGCAGCTGGAGCTGGGAAGGAAACAGTTATATCAATCAGAGAAAATTTTCAAGTTTATGAAAAATTTTCCTATCATGAATTGAGAGGAAGAGGTGGAATCTCAAATTTTCACAAATGAACAATATGGTTTTTTAATTTAGGTTAAATTGCAACATTAAGTTTTCACATTTTTGAATTATTTTGTTTTGCTTTTGGCCTTTTTTATTGTTTAAATTTGTTTTGCTATAATTATTTAAAAAATCATCTTGAAAATATTGAAAGAGGACATTTTGATAATTTCAAAACTTTTTTCCAAAAATGTTTGAACTGAGAAATTGTCAGAACTGACCCTTTCCCATGAACAGTTTCAGTTTTGACCAATTGGCATTTTCCAAAGAAAAAGTGTTTTGTCGAAAAATTTCTGATCTGTTCCACTTCCCAATTATTTCCTCTATGAGCTAGATTGTGCATATATCACTTGCACTGATGAGCACTAACTCATGTATTCTCATTCACTACAACATGACTACTTGTGTGAGTAATTGTTTATTAAGCTGGAGTAAGGGTTGCACAATCCAGCCACACGCAGGTAACCCACATGATGATGATCCCATGAAGTAAATAATAATTTTTCACAAAATGGACTCAATTTTTAATCATTATCAATTTTTTTTCAGCCACATAAATAGAAGAACACAGTTTGAAAATCCTGTCCTAGAAGCAAAAAGGAAGCTACAGCAGCATAACATGCCCAACGCAGAACTTGGAACAAAGCCTTTGCAGGCCCCAGGTTTCCGAGGTACAGTACCATGTCAGATTTAAGAAGAAAATAATTGCTATACTTTCCTGTTTTTATGACAATGATTTAACATAGTCTGGTTAAAATAACATAGTCTGTGAATTAGCATTAATTGGTGTTCAGTATGTTTAAGATAGCCTATCTAGCAAACATCATTTAAATTGAAGCCTCAGACACTATTGCTGTAGGAGTTTACAAGAACACTGAATCTTGATAATGTGAAAATGATTGAGCTTAGAAAGAAATGTATTAGCAAAAGTCAATATTGATAGATGAGTAAGTTTTGACATAAGGTTGTAGCCAAAGAATGAGGCTTGTTCTCCTTTGTAACAGTAGAAAGCGCCTCATCAACATTACCTAGGCCTAAACTCGTTCACCCGCATCCTGCTCCTCAGAGGTCTCGCAGTGTGAATGACCTGTCTCAGTGTCGGCGGGACAATGATGGAATGTACAGTCTGTATGGTATGTCCAAGTGCTGCTTGTTAGCCAAGCTGCACTGTTGTAAAAGTAGTGAGATAAGTTAAGTCACAAACCTTTTCACCTTTTTCATACCTTTTTTTGGCAAAATAAAGCACAGAAGAGAGGCACTGGAAGCCAGGTGAGGCTTATTCTTGCCTGATGGTAATTTTCACACTTTACACTGACGCACATTGAGAACAGATGTAAAGGTCACTGAACTGTCACACCGATTGTAAATGTCATTTGTCAGAAACTGAAATTCCATTTATCTGGGGTGAAAAGATTATCTGGAATTTACCCTTTTGTCTGAATTACTGATATAAATGGATATTTTTTGTTATTGGGGGCGTGAGGGGAAACTAATGATAACTTATTTGGTATACAAAGCTGAATTGATAGGCTAGGAATAATTATTAAGAGTTCAAAGTTACCTTGCATATTATTTTTATCATTGTGTAAATATTTTAGCTACACAACAATCCATCTCTAAACTTATTTCCAATATCAAAGAGCATTCCTAGCCCTTCCACCCCCAAGACTGATCTGCCATAGATAGAAAAATCCTCCTTAGTTGGTTCTGTATTAATATAAAATAAGGACTCACTAATGTGTTTATTTCTCCTGGAATGCTTACACTTTTTATTTCCTTTAATATCAAAATGCCACACTGCCACCTACTATTGCTGCTGCTTCTCTTGTTTTTGTTTGTGAGTCTGCGTTATATTATGACTTGACTGGAACTATTTTCTTTTTGTTTGTGTTGACTGATGTAGAAAAACCACTCTTCACCCGTGATGCATCACAACTGAAGGGAATTTTCCTCAGCACAACTCTCAAGAAGAGCAACATGGGCTTTGGATTTACCATCATTGGTGGTGATGAGCCAGATGAGTTTCTACAGGTGAAGAGTGTAATTCCTGATGGGCCTGCAGCACAGGATGGCAAAATGGAAACAGGTAATTAATTTTGTTCTTGTATTCCTTGATATAATTATCAGACTTCAGCCTTAGATTTTGAATAGCACCTTTTTCTTAAGTGCAGAAATAAGCAGGTGTGTTCGTGCTGTCATTCTGAGAGGTGCAAGTAGAGCTGTGTGAATAATTAGTGTTTTGGGTTGCTGGCCATTCTGAAAAATAATAATCACTTCTGGTCAACTTAAAACAAATATTTTAAAAACGTTGGCAAATCAAAAAGTTAGAAAAAAATTGGTTTTGGTCAAATGAAACATTTCATTTAAATTTGGAGAGGTTTTAAAAAGATTTTACTGTTTCTTTTAATAAAATTGAAGGAAATTTCAAAATGAAAAGTCATATCAAGAAAAACCAAAATATTTTGATTATTTTTTTTCAAAAAATTTTGTTTTGTTTTGACACAAACAATTTGGCAAAACTGACACACTTGCAAAATGTTTTGGAGTCACCAAATCTACATTTTTCACCCCAAAAAAGATTTTTAGACTAAAACTTCATCCACCTCTGGAGCAAGAGCAATATCTCTGCCTCAGAAAATATTTCCCAAGGGAAGTATCTCTCTGGAGTATTTCTTTCTAGAAATGAAAGGAAAACTTTTATTTTTTCCTCACAATATTTTCCTGTGATGAAGATCTCTGAAGCAAGCTTTTACTTCTTTAGGGTAAAATTCTCTCACATCTGCATAGCAGATCTCAGATGTGATGCTCTTCTCAACACATGCTCAGATTACCCATGAGGATTCCATGCATGTAGAGACAGAGGCCACAGACTCCATTTCTTTTCTGGAGGAAGGACTATATTGTAAAATAGTCAAATTAAGGTTGATTCTGTTTATCTGGGTAAAGACTATGTAACACTTCTGCCAGGTGGAGCCAGCAGCAACAGGGCTGGGTTCAATATCTAGGGATTCCTTTCCATCGATTAACACAGAACCAGCTCAAGCCCCCACCCAGTAACCTGGGAAAATTACACACCACCCTCGTTGCCTCGGAGAGTCAATACTTCCTAACCTGCAAGCACAGAGTCTGAGTGTAGATAAGAAACTTTTAATAAAAGGAGGGAAGTAACTCGGCGTTAATTTGGGAAAACACCGCAAACAGGGTTCATAAACATAAACCATGAGCCAAAGACCCACCCCCAAAGTAAGTTGGGCAGTGTCCTTTTCCCCTCAGGTTCTTAAGTCCAGGAACCCAAAAGTCCTTTTAATGTGCCCGTCCCTTCTCTGCACCCCACTCACAGTTGCTGTCCTTGGTCAGTACAGACACAGGGTTCAGAGGTGCATTTGAAGAGCTCACCTCCCACCCTGTGTGGAGGCGGGGGGTAAGGAGGCACCTTACTTGCTCTGCTGCTCAGGCACTCGCTTGCTACCCCTCTCTGCCAGCCGCCCTGCTGGCCGCTTGCTGCGCCACCTGGCCTCCCTGCCAATCGTTGCTGCTCCTTTCTGCGTGGCCATCCTGCCAGCTGCTCGTTCTGCTTACCACCTCATCAGCCACTCATTTGCCAGCCGACTGTCAGTCACCGTCTGCTACCACCTGCCTCTCTGCTGTGACCTCTGCACATCAGTCTCTTAGTAATTTTCAGCTCTTTGGAGGCTGGACAGAAACACTGCCCAGCAAATCTCAACATGATTTCAGCTCTCAGTGATGGCTAGCTCTTAGCAGACTTGGCAGAAACACAATCCCACCACAACTGATCTCAGCTCTGATTGAGCATTTAAAATAACAAAGAGGCTCCTAGTGAAGCCTATTTAGCTGTTTCTTTGAACAGTACGGGGGAACAGGTTAACAGTAAGGGAGGACTCTTGTGGGAGGGTCTACACATCCTGGCTGGGACACCTGTCCCCACCCCTCTTACTTTCACAGGGCTCTGGCATTCAAGCCCCTGGCTTAACAAGGTCCTTTCAGCTGAGGGTCCTGCTTTCCTGTATTCATACAATAATGCCAATAACATTGGTAACAGCATTTCACTACCCCTGCATTCAGTACTAAAGTGATTTGTAACACACCACCAGCCAAAGTTGATTATTTGAGCAACACACCACTCCATCTGCTGGATATCAAAGCAAAGTAGGTGTGCATGTAAATACAGTTTGCTCTAGAAGTCTCTCCCCCTCCCAGCTAGCTGTCAGGGAAGATTCAGCAGACCCTGCTTACATCTACTTTTAGTAAAGGCTTACAAGATCATCTCAGATCCATGTATGGAGAGAATCCTTCCATGTGCCTTCCATCCTCCTCCATGGATGGTGGGGTCAGCTGTCACCCTTCCTCCATGCCCTGCAGAGGGTGTTCCCTAGCCCTAGGATCTGTGTTGAGGTGCGGGGGGGGACTGGTCAGGCTGAGGGCAGACTGATGGATACACATGTCATTCTCCCTCCATCCTGACAGATTTTTAGAGAAGAGATAATAAAACCTGGGGCTATATTATCTTTGCAGGGCCCCCCAACTGAAACCAGAGTCATAGAGGTAGTCTAATCTATGGTAGGGAAAAGCCCCATGTGCACACATGTAGAGAACACCGTGTGGGGATCCTTGCAGATTTACTCCCTCAGTCCCCATTTCTGCAGATTTTTGTGGGAGAGGGAATAACCCGGACCATAACATGTCAGGATACACCAACTCGAACTACTGCTGGTGCTGTAAGGCCAAATAAACTTCTGTAAAACCATGCAAGTAGGAATTGTGGAGGTTCTGAATTTTACTATTTTTAAAATGCCCTTCTTGCACAAAACATGCCATTAAAATGGTGGAAGGTTTTTGATGCCAAGTAAAGAGTGGCAGCCAGCAGATATAACAAAAATTAAAATATAGATTTATTTTTTGTAAAATCTTGTAACTGTTCTATCAGCTTGAACTTCAGTCGCACTGTTGATGTCAACCTTAAAATGCAATTTGGTACAGAAGGTTAAAATTCAAGAAGCTAATTAATAGAAGAAATGGTGCAATAGATACGTGCTCAGAAGAGACTAATGAATCCTATTAATAATAAAACCAATGAATTGCTCTTGAACTGTGCCTTGATCTTCATGTTGCCTAATTTGCAGCAGAGGGCTTTGCAGGTTGTTATGGCCCAGCATACTTTGATTAAGAACTTGAAGCAGGATTCCTATGAAATAATCTGAGTGGAATGGTTGAGTGTCTTTTCAACTAAACTAGAGCCTGATACTGAAACTGCATGATTGCTCTGTTGCAACATTGATGGTTGTTATTGTGAACATTTATTGAGAGGCAAGGTGGGTGAGGTAATATATTTTAGTGAAAAAACTTCTATGGGTGAAAGAGACAAGGTTTTAAAGCTTACACAGAACTCTTCTTCAGGTCTGGGAAATGTACTTAGAATGTCACTGCTAAATACAAGGTGAAACAGATTGTCTAGCATAAGTAAACACATTTATTCAGATGGGTATTTTTAAAAAACTTACATTAAAATAGTACTGAAGATTTTATTGAAAACCACAAATGAAAGGAAATTAAGAAGTAAAGGTGTGAGAGAATTTCAAAACACAGAATTATTATTTCAATAAACCTGATATGTATATGTATTAAAGTAGATATTGAGCTAAATTCTGCCCTTAGTTGACTCCCCGCAGCTCCCTGATTATCAAGTTATCACCTGAGTAAAATAAACCAAGAGTTTCAGGTTAATGAATTTTGCCTCACACAATATCCCTGTGAGATAGGGATGTGTTGTTATTTTCATATTATAAATGGGTAAACTGAGAAAAAGGGATATTTAAAAACATAAGGTTTATAAAACAGGTCTGTAGCAAATAACCCAGATTTCCTCATTCCCACTCCTTTGCATGTTTCCTAAACTGTGCTTCCTGTTCCTCAGATACCCTTTTCAGAGTCTGCTCACCTTCAGATATGTTGCACTTCATGTTCTGCCAAATAGTCCTCCTTGGAGCCATTTCAGAAAATAGATTGTTCGCTTACCTATTATTTTAAATCGTCCTGTGTTTCTAAACCATTGTGGGACACAAATCTACTTTGTAAGTTAAATAAGTGTTGGATGAAGAATAAGGCTTTTTATATAAATGTATTTTTATTGTGTGTTTCTAAAAAAATAGCGCCTCCTCTGATACGCCTCCTCTTGTGTCACAGTAATAACTGTGCCCATCTCAGGGGGACCACTGTTATTAGTCTATACAAAATCAAGATTCTTGCGAAATCGAAGATTTGCAATTGCTGCAGCAATAATAGGTGCTGGATCTTTATTGTTTTGGGATGAAATACACCCTAGCAAGGAAGCCCATGCAAGGCCTCCCGGCTATTGAAGGTTGACATTTGCCCTCCGTGGTGATGACTATAGGCTCCTCACTGCAAATAGGCTGGCAGTGGAAGATGGATAATTATGCAAATTCAGTGTACCTACCATTTTGAATAAGTAAAACTAGTGTCTAGGGATGTTATGTCAGGCCACTGGTTGGATTAGTGGCCATGGAGACACACGCCTGTCTTTCCCCACAAAAACCCTGCCTACCATGTGACTAAAGCCAAAAACTCAGGATTTATGAGATAAAAGGAAAAATTAATTGTATGATTTTACCTGACTTACTACCTTTGATACATACTGTTGCCAACTCTCTCAATTTTATTATGCGTCTCTATTTATTTGGCTCCTGGGGTCAAGTGATTACTTGAAAAAAGCAACAGAGGGTCCTGTGGCACCTTTGAGACTAACAGAAGACTAACAGAGACTATTCTGTTAGTCTCAAAGGTGCCACAGGACCCTCTGTTGCTTTTTACAGATTCAGACTAACACGGCTACCCCTCTGATACGTGATTACTTGAGAATCTCAGCTAGAAGTGAGTTTCTAGTCCTCTTGTTTGCAGAGAACTACTTGAAAATGTGACCAGAGTGCACCCTAAAGGCTCAATAACCAGAAAGTAACAAAGAGAATATCAAATTTAGTTTTAAAAATCTCATTTTTTTTAGCCACTCTCTTAATTTTTCAGGGCCTGCCTCACGACTTTGAATGCTTGAGA